ACTTTGTTTTCCTTTGCAAGACTTTGACAGAATCTGGCATAGACTTATTAGCACAGAATGCGATTGAAGTGTGATTCTTTGGCATTTAATCGATTGTGGTGAGGGCATTCCACAAAGAACATGGGCACTTCTCCATCTGAATAGGCTTGACAAAGGGCATGAGCCCAAGAGAGGCCTGCAGAGAGGGCTGGGTGCAGGGTGGCTCAGGATGCACAGACAGACATCCAGCCACAGAGCAGAGGGCAGGCAGACACCTTAATCCAGCTGCAGCAGCTACAGGAAGAGTCCTGAAAGCAAGTCTTACTCTTCAGGGGTTTAGGCCTCTCTCTTATACCCTGCCTCTTTGGCTCAGTCCTGCATCCCCTTCCTCTCTCCCAGCCCCTTGTTAGTGCTCCTGCCTCCCGAACATCAAGGTCAATCATCCTGGGGCCTCTCCCATCTAGGAAAGGACAGGGGTAGACTTCTAGGATGGTATCTGTTCAACTCTCCTATAATCCAGGATCGTCCAAGGAAATAAATAGGAGTCAAGTTTACCTAGGACTAGGAGGGCAGCAAATCAGCAACCATGACAGACACAGGCATGAGGCTCTATTCACTGCCTCCAAGTACTGCCTCCTGACCCACAGGAAGCACCTCCAGATTCCTGGAACCATCCTGAGCCCCCAGCTCAGCCAGCTCCCTGGACACTGAGCATTCCACAGGGGCAGGATGGTACTCATGGGGCCCTCAGAATCCCTGGATCGGTCCCACCCCCACTACTTTCTCCCCCCACTTCACATCTCTCCTGCCCTTCAACATGCCCTAGGCTGGTCACTCTTCCTGGAGAAGGGGCTCTCGGTCCCCTCCGAGCACCCTTTCATCCTCCTCCTTCTCCATGCAGCCCACGGTGGCAGCCAGCCCAGCGCCCACACCACCCCCAACCACGGCAGCCCCCGTAGCTCCCACGGCCGCCCCGGCTGCCACCATCCCAGCCTCTGCAGCTAACGCAGCTGCAGCCATGCCCGCACCCACCACGCCCCCTGCTAGGCCCATGAGCCCAGCCCCTACGGCACCCCCCACAGCAGCCAGATGGCCACAGAAGCGCATCGTGTAGGAGTCCATAAAGGCCTTGGCCTTGGCTTGCAGCTCAGCCTCCAGAGCCTCCAGGGTCTGCTCTCTCTCCTTGCACAGTAAGGCCACGCCATGGCGGGCCAAGATGGCGTCCTTCTGGGTGGAGAGGAGGTTCCGCATGGTGTCAGGCAGCACCCGGAGAGCAGAAAAGATGCGCTTGGTGGCTATGTCCTGTGTCAATGGGGAGGAGAAAAGGTGTCCTAACCAGAAGACCCAAGTGCCCCCTCCCCTCTGTGGGCCCTGCTGGCCAGCCCCCAGCTTCCCCTGCAGGCCCAGGGGCTTACCTGCTGCCTCACATACTCCTCAAATTCCTTCTTGGCAGCTTCCACTTTCCTCAGGTCGTGCAGCTGAGCAGCCATCTGTCCACGGGAAAGCCCAGGCTGCCTCCCTCCTTCCTCCTCAGCCAGGGTGCAACCTGTTTCCTCATCTCCACTCCCAGGGCATCTGAGTCCCCCCCACCCTTTGCCAGTCCTCCCTCACAGACCCCCATCCAACCCTGGGGGGCTCCGTACCTCCTCCGGAGAGCTGAAACCTGGCCCCGTTCTCCCCATCCAGCCTGAGAGGTTCTGCAGAGACACCACCACCGCCGGGTCAGGGAGAGCAGGGGCCTGCGGAGAGAGCTGGGGTCTCCAGGGGGTTTTCACACCTTGATCTCCTGAGCTAGCTGCTGCCCCGTGAGCAGGCGTCTGTCCCCCCTGGCCACTGTGCGCCCCTCGCTCCAGTATCCCTGGCAGCGGCTCTTTGCGTGCTGGGGAGCTGTGCTCAGAACATCAGAAACGTAGGGCTGAAGAAGGTGGCAGAAATCCTCATCTGCATCTGAGGAAGAAAATTCCTCATGCTTAGGAGATTGGGGAGTTTGCAAGGAGAGAGAGGTTGGGAGCTGGGAAAGCTTGGGAGCCCCTGGGAGGTCTCTGTCCCCTCGGGACACTCACCACCTCCTGGGCTTCCTTGGCCTTTGTTCACCCACTGCCTCCCCGGCTTGGGCAGGAGGTAACAACGGGCTCGTTTCCCTAGCAGCAGCTCCTGGACCTTGGGGTATTTGCTGGACAATCTCTGAGAGAAGGATTGAGGAGAGCATGCCACGGTGAGTTCCCTTCCAGGACCCTTGGAGCCCCTTTGCCTTCCACCCTGTAGTGGCCCCTTCCAATCCCCTCCCTCTGCACCACTCACCTGTAGGATATCACCCACATGCCCCTGCCCTGCTTTATTGGAGATGGACGAGTCACGAACTAAGAGGTCCAGATGCTAGAAGAGAATACACCCTTGACTCCCAAGCTGGGCATGTGGGGGTGGGGGGGCGGGGGCTGGGCTGACGAGTTCAGAAAAGGGTGTCTTACCTGGATTGGCACCATCCCATAATGTTTGCCCATCACTTCGGCCACGTGTACAAACATCTGGGATAAGCACAGAGAACACCAGGGTTGGGACTCCCTGAAAGCTCCCATCTGTCTCAGGTCCTCTCACTCCACCCCGGACCCTGGGCTGCCCTGCTATCGGAAACAATCTTGCCACTTCCCCAATCCAAGATCCCCCTGCTTCTCTCCAAAGCAGGCATCTCGCGCTTCACCCCTACCCTTGAACCCTTTGGCCTAGTTCACGTGTCGTAAAATTCTAGACCAGAATGAAAGGGCATTAACTTCCTCTGGTCCAGCCACTGGCTCTATGGGCAATGTGGGAGTGGGTGACGCCTCCAATATCAGAGGCCTCCTCACCTCTAGGTAATCCAGGTCTGTGTCTCTCAGCTCCTGGGAGGTATTCAGGATCTACAAGCAAGAGCACAATAAGATGTGGAGAATGAGTTTGCCTCCAGGTATCTCAAACCTTCCAGCAGGTCTTTTTGATTCCACCAGCCTTCTGCTGCCCCCAGGGACTGTCACCCCTTTGGGAACATCTGCCCCTCTCCACGGGCAACCCCAGAACATGCAGGGACCACAGACACCAAAGCCTGAGAGATGCCCTCAGCTGGGAGGGGGCTGAGCTGTAGGTGGGGAGACCCGATCTCCCAGCACCTCTCTCACCTGGTAGGAGCTCAGCATCATGGTGAGAGCACAGAGCTTGATCCTTGTTTCCCTGCTCAGTTCAGAGCTCATGGCATCCCCTGTGTCCACGAGGAACACAGCCACCTAGGGAGGGGGTGGAGGAGGACAAGCTAAGGGTTCAGCCTGGCCTCGCTCCCTCCCGTTCTTCCCCCTGACCCAGTCTTCTTGTCCCCACCCCCAAAGATTTCCTTCTTTATCCCCCTCCTCTTGGTCCATCCCCCTCATTCCTCCCTGACCCCCTTCTGCCCTTTCTCCTCTTACCTTCTTCCCTTCTTTCCCCAGCAGGAAGGGGTGGCTCCACATCCAGATGCCCCTGGTAAGGCCATTGGCACCCCACCTGAACCCCTGCAAGAAACCCTCTCCTCCTCTGGTCCAGCTGCCCTCACTGGACTCCTGCAGGGACAGAAGGGGGGCATCAGCTGGTCCATTCTATGTCCCCAGAGACTAGGCTCCAGACTCAGCTCCTTCCCCAGAGCCAACCTGGGACCCCCCACCTGCCTGCCCGCCCTCCACCTCCTGCCTGCCAGCCCTGCCCTCACCAAGCCCGGCAAGCCTCGGAGCAAGTGATCAAGGAGAGAGGACTTCCCTGAGTGCTGCTCCCCCAGGACAGCCAGGAGGCACACAGGGGTGTCCCTGGCCAGGGGGTGCTTCAGGCAGCGGTTGATGGCCCCCATCCTCAGGATGAGGCCTCCAGAAGCATTGATGCGCACAAGGAGAAGAGGCTCCGCCCTCACGGCACAGGTCTCCTGGGAAGGGAGAGAAGGCTCCCTGAGCAGCCTTGATGGGACCCCAGGTCTGGAGTGCTTAAAACTTGGTGCTTCATCCTGATATTCTAAAATAGGGTCAAAGCCACCCATGCCTCTTGGATCCGATCCAGAGGTCTCCATACTCCCCGCCCACCCATGAGGCCTAGTCCCCACACCTGCAGCACAGGGGGTAGAGGTCGCTGTGGCAGGAGCTTCATCTTCTCCCCCAGGCTGCGGAGTCCCTTCTTCTGCTTGCAGATCTTTCTGCACTCGGGGCAGCAGGGCGGCTCACAGCCTGGGACCCGGTGTGTGCTGAAGCACCGAATGCAAAAGTCGTGGCCACAGTCCAATGAGATGGGCTCACGAAGTCTCTCCAGGCAGATGGAGCAGGCGGGCAGCTCCCGGGGTGCCGTGGGTCGGGGCCCCAGGCCCAGCTCCAACTTGGGAAATGGTGCATGGGACCTGGGGGCAGGACATGACATTCAAAAGCAGGATATTTTATTAGATGCACAGGTTTTGGGGGGGCAGGCTGACGGCTTGGGGTGAAGGTTTCTCTGTGTCACCTCCACTTCTCTCAGGGTTCTCCATGGACTTAGGGAGCTGCTCCCAGACAGGCCAAGATCTACCTGTTCCTTACTCACTTGTACCCTAGGTTCTGGCAGCCCCAAAGTGGGAACAGAACAGTTGTAAAACAACACCCAAGAGGAAAAAAAACCTGAATGGAACCCTGGCTCTGCCAGCTCCCAGCCATGCAACTGTAGGCAGGGTCCTTCCTGTCTCTGGGTCCCAATTTCCTAATTGTCCCAGTGGAGAGGTTAGGATCCCCAAGCTCATGGGGTGTGGAGATAATCTCCAGGATGATAGGTGAGCAGCAGGCTGGTGCCAAAGCTCAGGAAAACCCTCTCTGCTGACCTTTTGCAACAGGGACCCCCTCAAGAAGGTCAGCAAGCCCCCCCCAAGAAGTAAGAAACTCTACAAGCCCCTGCTACTGGGATAGTCAAGAGAGAGTGGCAAGGTCCTGGTGCCCAAGCAACCCATTCTGCAGCTAAGCAGATGGATCTGGTTCCCCCAAGATTTCTTCCCCTCTCTGAGCTGAGCATCTGCCTCCCCCCAGCACCCATCTGCTTTTCCCTGCCCTCCCTCCACAACCTGGTAGATCCAGCCTGGCACTCCTTCTCTAGGGATAGCCCTGTGGGAGCCTCAGCCCGTAGCTGCAGGGCTCCATGCTCCTGGACCAGCCCTTTCCAGCTGACCTGCCAGGCCCACTGCACCAACCCCTGCCCAGCAGGCCCCAGCACTCACCAACTGTTGCTGCTGTTTCCCATGAAGCTCCGTTTTCTCTCCTTGGAGAGGGGAAGGGGGGCAGAAATTAGGACAGAATCCAGACTCCTGCCTTCATGCTGGGTTTCCAGGATGTCCCTCCCCCCTCCCTCCCAGGCCCATCCCCCATCCCAGGTGGCTGCTTCCCACCCCCCCATCCCCCCCAGATTTTAGGACTGAAGACTTGCCCGTTTGCCAAGCCGATGACAAAAGGAAGTGACTGACAAGGTGGGCCTCGGCATGGGAGGCTGGAACAGAGAGGGGGTCCAACGCAGAGAGAGCCCCACCAAGACCTTCAGCGGAGGCAAGGATGGCTTTTCTCCCGGAGGGCTTGCTGGGCGGTGGCAGGTGGAGGGTGGGGCAAGGGATGGTTTCCCCAGAGGAGCTGACTCCCTGTCAGAGCTGGAGAATAAATGTGACAGTCCGGAAAGAGGAGGCTGCTGCTGGACTCACCCCAGGGGGAGGAGACAGGGCTGCGGGTACCAGGGCTCTGGAGGAGGGAGGGACAGAGCCCAGCTCAGAATCCCTGGCAGAGGCTGGGATGCAGGCGAGCCGAGGTGGTGAGTCGCCATGGAGACGGGAGGGAAAGATAAGGACAGGGAGGGGGAGGGGGACGGAGAGAGAGAGAAGCCATGTGGGTGCACTGGCAAAAAAGGAAAGGGGCTCGGAGTGGGATCGTGGGCCAGCACTGCCCCTACCGGGCCAGTTGGGGTCCTTCAGGGCCACCGAGCAGGATGCCCAGAGATGGCGCTGAGAGACACAGGAGAGAGGGCAACCGGAACGACATAGAGACAGCGAGGCTATGGGTCCATTCATTCGTATAACCTACTTTCACTGAGCACCAACTATGTGCAGAGCTGCACGGCGGCACCACCACGCTGTGCATGGTGCCACCACGCTGCATGTGGCTTGTACATCCCACCACCCTCCTCCAAGTTTACATCACTGACGCAGCTTTCCTCAGTACCTTTGAACGCTGCATGTATCCTCTCTGTGTCTTTCCCTATCCGTGGTTTTTGTTCTGCTTCAAGCTGGTGAAGAGCCACCTCTGGACCTTCTACCTCCCTTGGACTGGACCCCTCACCTTCTCCCATCCATTTGGCAGTACGTAACCAGCACAGATGCTCCCAGCATCAGTGACCCCACACTGCTCAAACATCTTCCATGGCTCCCTACTACCATCAGATTATAATTCAAACTACCCAGCCTGCACCCCCAGGCCTGAATCTTCCTCTCTAGCCTTCTCTCTCACCCTCTCACCTCTCACTCTGCCCCAGTACCTTTGCTCGGTGTTCCCTCTGCCTGTTCTTCTTCTTCCCTCCTAAGACGTCCTCCCCACACTTAGTTCCAGTGCCTGGAGACTTCTTGCCTCCCAACGGGATGTGATGTGCTGACTTCAGGTGGTTATGACTTGGAAATCTAACTTGGGACAGGTTTGGTGCAGCCCAGGCTGCCTGCTCTGAGCCAGATTACCAGCTGGAAGTCCCTGGTTATTTTACTCTGCCTCTCTGAGCTCTAAGATCACTTGCCCAGGCAGGGGAGTTATTGGCAATTCCTAAGGGCTGGGATGCAGAGGAGTTAGGGTGAGGTGGGATTCAGAACCTGGAGAAGTTCTGTAGAGACCTCCCCCAGCAGGCAGGGATGCCCCAGGAACTCAAAAAAAAAAAAAACAAACAAACAAACAAAAACAACTCAGGAAGGACCACATTGAGCCAAGCCTGGTCCTGCCTGGTCCTGCAAGGTACACAGGCCACTGAGGACTAAGAGACGCCTTGAGTGAGAATGGACCCATGGGGAGAATTGTGAGAAGGAGCTCCTAGGTTTCAAGAAGGCAGATTGACCTATGGGGAGGGAGGGAATTTGAGGCTGTAGAAATAGACTTGTTCATCATTTCCTCCATTCTTTTATTCATTTACACAACAAATAGTGGTTAGAGTCGTGCAAGGTGCCAGGAATGTGGCCATAAGCAACTGCCCTCAAAAACTTGTACTGACTCCGAGAAATATGGGCCTGCTTGGCCAGCCATACCACTCACCTCCATTGTTTGCCCATTGGCCGTTATCTGTTATCCACTGTTCCTGCACACATCTGTGTGGTGGGCCCAAGGAGGGCCAGAGCAAACCGCTGTATATCCCATTAGCCCACAGCTCAGCAGCTGGCAGAACAGAACTCCTCCCTGGCAGGATAGGCCACTGGCTGCAGGCCTCACATTCATGCAGTACTTCCTCCTTCTACCCACAGCACATAACCCGGCCCATGGTCCTCTCCAGAGTCAGTCTCCAGATCCTGAAGAGGAGCTCTCTCAGCGCCTGCTCTCCTTCTGCCTCCTTCCTCCTGGTAGACAGTTTCCTGGTGGCATAGCCCAGGCTG